ATTGCGCTCTCAGTGTAAACACAAGGCCCCAGTTTTAACAACACCTGCTTGCCAAGGGCAGGGTGAGGGAGGGGTTAAAATTGAGACAATCCAGTTGCCGCGTTTTTCCTGTCTTTAACAGAACTACAGACTCTGTTCCAAAATATACCACTTAGAATCCAGAGCAATCCCTCTGAATTGATTGAAATGGGGCATCCATGTTTGTTACTCAGGCACTGATGTGATTTTGACTGTGATTGGCTTACTAGTGGCCTCCCTGTCCAGTCATACCTCCTGGGATTATAAATGCTGTCTGAACTAGGCCTCCTCCAGCCCCCAAGGTCTGTAGACCAATGGAGAGAAAGCAGTGGTTGCATCAGGAAGCTGAGGTTCATTAGGCAGCTTGTTAAAGGCCTGAAGCCAAGCCTCCTGCCTTGTAGGCCAGGGGTTTATTTACAGTGGTTGTCAAAGACACTGTGTCCTGAACCTTTTCTTGCCTCCAGCTGCAGCGACAGTCCTCAGTGCACAACTTGAAAAGCAGCTTTCCTGAGGCCAGTTAAGCAAAAGCAATCAGCCCGTTACCTTTCCAATGGAAGCCAATGATATCTGCTGGCTTCCTTCTTGTTCAGGATATCATTGCACAAGAAGGAGCTGTCTCAGGGTGTCGAAGGATGAAACAAGAGCTGTCCTCACCAGGCAGGCTTATCGTTCCACCACTGTCACACTCTGTGTGATTCACTATCCGAGGATCCACATTGTGGATTGCAAGTCACCATGTGGCTTCCCTCTCTGAAGGTTCAGCCATCCTTTCATTAATACACCCCTGCAGGAAGGTTGCCTTGGGATAAGTAAAATTAGGTTAATTGTCACATGTACTGAAGTTCAGAGATTCCTGAGTACAGCGAACCATGTATAAAATCGTCACTTCTGGCGGCATCTTGGGTCCAAAGATACCTAGGTACAAAATCTTAGGTATAAAGTAGAAAAATGAAGAAGTAAAGTGAAAAGGTCAGCATTACAGTCCTTCTAAAGTTAGGTACAAAGATACCCAGATACAAAATCTTACATATAAATTGGAAAAATAAAGAAATAAAGGTAAAAGCTCTCTATTCCCTGGCCATAAGTAGTGTTGCTCTCTTCCCAACATGACAATTCGAGCAGCATTGGACTTGGAGGAGACACAGGGTGACTGCGATGGTCTGGCCCAGTGAGCTTTCTGGCACTGCATTCACTGAGGTGGGAGGAACAAACAAGGAAACAAGGAGGCCTTTTGAGATTCTGGAACCTCGCCAATAACTCATATCAGCAAAAAAAAGACAATTCCTAGACCTTTGATGTGCTGAGGGTTGGAAGGGAAAGCAATCTCCCTCTGAACAAGTGCACTCTCACTTTCAGTTAGCTTCTGACTGAGCCGCTGGGAATTGCACTCCACAAGAGAGCAGTTTTTCATCCAGTCAGTTCGGTGGAAAGCCTCCCCAGTCTCTTAATGAGCCTTGGCTAAGTGGTTCACATCCGAGACAGAATATTGCATGTTCAGATCCTGGAGTGTACAATCTACAAATGCATCTACACGAGAATCTACACAACCTAAGGGAGTTTGCTGTCAGCAAACTGCTGCATTTCCTGCTTCACAATAGCGACTACACTTCAAGAACAATTAATTGGCTGTAAAATGTTTTGGAACATCCCGTGGTTGTGAAAGGTGTTAACTAAATGCTGAAGCATTCAACAAAAGCTATGACTTGTCCACCTGAAACTGAGCTTGAGAAGAAATGGGACCCCAAGTCTTATTTCATGGCAAAAGTATCAATTTGCTTATCTCCCAGCAGCACATTTACATTTTTGTACGGTTGAAATAAAGGATATCGAATTCCAATATTTGATTGCATCTGAATAGGTGTAAATCTGAAGTTTGTGGCATAGCAGTTGAAACTCTTTGTTTGGAGTCAAGTCAGCCTTGCATAGTAACAGCCAATTTATATTTACAAAGTTAAAGCACAAAATAAATACAGCAAACATGTTATTAACCAGCACCAACGGGACCAGGAGTGAGCTGGTTGATCAAATGTTTTGGTTGACAAAGAAGTCCACAATAAACAATGTAAAAACACATACTCAGGATGGGGGCCCTCTTGTGGCACCTACCCCTCAACCAGGTGACCCAGGTTCAAGTCCCACCTGCTCCAGAGGTGTGTAATAACATCTCTGAACAGGTTGATTAGAAAAACAGGCATACACACTGCTGTTATATTTTATTCACAGCATAAATTCTTAAATCATAATGCAACTTAGTCTTAAATAAAACTTATCGGCAGAGAACCTTCTCACTGGCACTCTCAACTGACTACTCGGAGATCACAACTGTATAATTTTTGCCCATTTATCAAGAGTGCCGGTTCATTTAAGGTTCTGGTTAAAACAAAGTTTGCCATACATGAAGAAAATATTGAAATCCATAATCAGATGCTCCATTATCAAATAAAACAAAATAAAACTGTTCTGAGGAAGGGTCACTCGACCCGAAACATTAACACATTTCTCTCCATAGATGCTGCCAGACCTGCTGAGATTTTCCAGCAATTTCTATTTTTGGCTCCATTATCAAATCTACATTCGCAGCTTTCAATCTATCTTTGTGGTTGGCTGGATCCCCTTGTTTGAGGTTAATTTCTACTTGGGGTCCCAGGTTTCTGCCAGGGTTCTTTGTGTGACTGAACAGCTCTATTCTTGACCCTCAGATCTTTGGGCATGTTGGGGCAGGATCTCCCATAAGGCATGGGGCCCAGAGAGCAGGATTTTCCTCCATTTCCATCTCTGCTGCTGCTCTGCCTCAATGTTATGGCGTTTGGCTTCGAACTGCAAGTTTGCAGTTTGATGGATAAGTTGTTGGCATTTTGGGCGATTGGTAGTGAGGTCCTCCTGGTCACGCTACAAGGAAAGCCTCAGAGACTCTCACAGTTCACCTGACAAAGGAGCAGCGCTCTGAAAGCTTGTGATTTCAAATCAACCTGTTGGACTGTAACCTGGTGTCGTGTGCCTTCTGACTTTGTCCACCTGAGTTCAACACCGGCACCTCCATATCAAGAAGGACACTCACGTGTGTACACTGATCCTCCCACTGAATCTGGAGAATGCATCAAAGGGCATTACTGGCATAATTTACCTCAAGGGGTCATTCTAGTGCACAAGCCTTTTTATTAATAAACGTGCTGGTCCATACACGGTCCCTTTATATGCATCTATGAAAAAGTAGTTACAACAAATGTTCCCCTACTAGAATGCCCCTCTCAGATTTGTCTTTTTTAACGGAGTAAGAGTGGTGTACAAGATAATTAGATGGACTTCTTTTCTTGAACCATCAAGAAATTACGGAGAGTTGTGAACACAGCCCAGTCCATCACACAAACCAGTCTTCCATCCATTGACACCATCTATACTTCCTACTGGCTTGGGGAAGCAGCCAAAACGACCAAAGACCCCTCCCATTCTGGTTATACTCTCTTCCACTCTCTCCCATTGGGCAGAAGATACACAAGTTTGGAAACACATATCAACAGATGTAAGGAAAACCGAAAGAACTGCGGATGCTGTAAATCAGGAACAAAAACAGAAGTTGCTGGAAAAGCTCAGCAGGTCTGGCAGCACCTGTGAAGGAGAAAACAGAGTTAACGTTTCGGGT